TTTTTTTTTTTTTTTTTAAAATAGCCTAAACAACTGTTTGCAATCGGAAATTACTATCCATTGAGTTGAACGAGGTCAACGACAAAATTCGCAGATCGAACAAAATGTCACGGCAGATGACGAATTCCGACATTTTGGATTCCAAAGCTGAGAACTATGTTTTCAACGAGTCCGCCATTACGAGATCATCACAAGTATCCTGGAAAATCGATGAAAATGGTGAGTTTAAATAGATTACAACTAAATTTTACAATTAGCGCTTCTTTTTATTTTAATTAATTAAATAATTAACGTTTTTTAAAATATGAAAGAAAAGAAAAATTATTAAAAAAAAGAAAAACACGCTACAAGAAATATATGCGTAAATAATGAAAAAATTGTTTTCTGCGATAACATTGACATTGTTTAACGTAATTGTTTAAAAGTCTTAAAAACTTTACCACCAATGGGGTAATGATTGATGAAAGGAGATAAAAATAAGTAGAAATAAAAATAGAACGTTAAAATATTACATTTTTATTTTGTCAAAGCGCAGTAAGAGAGTTTACAAGTTGGTGAGTTTAATAAGAAGAAAAAAAACGATCGGTAAACTATATACATATAACACTTTTGTAAATAGATGACAAGTGATATAATGGTGGGAAGAATGTATAAAAGTGACGAGAAGAACTAAACGAGTTTTCAGATGTTTTATTGTTAGTAATACAATAACAAAGAAAATATTTATAAACAAAAAAAGAATTTAAAGAAGACAGATCTAAATATTGAATTGTTCGGCAAGTAATTTCGTCTTTTTCCTGACACAATAATTTAGTTATATTACCACATTATTTAGTTATATTTACGCAATAGAGTTATACAGTTTTATTTGAGCAAAAAAAAAAAAAAAAGAAAACAGGAAAGAATCTTAACATACGGCAAAAAAGAGTAATTCACGATACACGGAAAGAAACACGTAGGCGACGCGTAAAGAAAAAAAGAGAAAAGGGGGGTGAAGAGTGACACCACCGCGGTTGAAGTAGAAAATTACTGTGAAAACTCTCTGTAGAACCGAGTTTGACATGTATTATTCACGAGAAGAGGTAAAAAATGTCGGTAAGTTGGCGCCTTTTACGTGACACCATTAAATATTTATAAGATACTGTCACATAACGCAAATTACGGAAAGTCGATGGGTTGTGGTGCTTTCAAAAGTGTAGGCGACATACGATCAGGAATAAAAAAGGACAAAAAGACAAATTTAATTTTTCTAATCAAATGTGCATTTAAAACGATCACTTTGACAATGATAATGATAATATTATAACTAGTTAGAATTAAAAAAAAAAAAAAAAACCCCACTCCTACTGTTAATTCTATCACAGGTTGTATCGTCAATTCGAGTCAACTACAGCAATCACCTTTATACGAGGAAGCTTACAAGAGATCGTTGGAAGATCCAGAAGAATTTTGGGGTGAAGTTGGACAATTGGTCGATTGGTTCAAACCATGGACTAAAGTTCTCGATAATTCCAACGAACCATTTACCAAATGGTAAGTCGTGTGTCATTTATTTTCTCATTCTTTCAAAACCGATCACGGAAATCTAATTAATACAATGTTAACCCCTTTGCGATTACAACTGATTCATTTTCTCCTACTAACTATATTGATAAAATTATATGATAAAAGAAATTTATCGAGACGAGAAAAGAAAAATATTGATAATCACATATATGCGTATTTCATTTTTTTTCACTGGGCGCATATATGCGCCCGCATGTTATTCATTGGGCGCATATATGCGTCCTAATTTTTTTTCGCTTGGTGCATATATGCGTCAAAAAAGGAAACCATTTTTTGGAATTTTTTTTCGTTTGACAGGTTCGTCGGAGGAGAGTTGAATGCTTGTTACAATGCCGTGGATCGTCATGTAGAAGCTGGTAACGGTGAAAAAACGGCTATCATTTATGATAGTCCCCAATCATCGACCATTAGAAAAATTAGTTATAATGAGTTATTGCAAAAAACATCGTTGTTGGCCGGTGCCTTAGCGGATATGGGTGTCGGTAAAGGTGATAAGGTTATCATTTACATGCCTCTTATACCGGAAACGATAATTACCATTTTGGCTGTTACTAGACTTGGCGCTATCCATTCAGTTGTTTTCGGAGGTAATACAAATTAATATTAACAGCAAAAATTGTGAAAGCTTTCAATTGTTCATCAATTTTGTCCTTTCTAAAATTCTTAATTTTTTTTTCTTTTTTTTTTTCTTATAAATCAGGATTCGCTGCTAACGAATTGGCCAATAGGATAGATCACGCGGAACCAAAGGTCATCGTTATTGCCAGTTGTGGTCTTGAACCTCATAAAATTATTAAGTAAATTTTGTCTTCTTTTTTTTTATCTAATGTTAAATCAATTGAAAATATTGTTTTAAAGATATGCAAATCGTATTGTATCGTATATGTCTGACGATTTGATCGTTATAAATGTTAATTCAGGTATACATCGATGCTTAACGATGCGTTGGAATTAATATCGGTTAAAGAACCTGAATGCATTATCTATCAAAGAAGTAACGTTTGGACTTGTCCTCTTCGTCCTAATCAATACGACTGGGAAAAAATATTGAAAACTGCCAAACCTCATCCCTGCGTTCCAGTAGAAGCTAACGATCCTTTGTATATATTATACACATCAGGAACAACAGGTATACAAGATATTAAGTAAAGTAAATTTCCAAAATCAATTGATCAACTAATTATCATTCATTATTATACAGACAGTCCAAAGGGAATTTTAAGACCAATAGGTGGCCACTTAGCAACCCTTTGTTGGTCAATGAAAACGATTTACGGTATGAATAAAAATTCAGTTTGGTGGGCTGCTTCAGATATGGGTTGGGTTGTAGGACATTCTTATATTTGTTACGGTCCTTTGGTTTACGGTGCTACCAGCGTTATGTACGAAGGAAAACCTGATCGAACGCCAGATTCATCTCAATATTTTAGGTAAACAAGGAAACAATAATTAAATAAATCGATAATTAATTTTCATCCGTTGTAACTAGTAACGTTTGGTGTTTTTTTTTTTTTTTTTACAGAATAATAGACGAGCATAAAGTAAATGCATTATTTTGCGTGCCAACGGTATTACGTGTTTTGAAACATGCCGATCCTGATTGTACCCTTGGTAAAAAATACTCTATGAAATCGTAAGTTATGATTTTATAATTAATCAAACAATATTTATTATTCGTTTATTATTATCTATATACAATATAAAATGTTTATCAATTTAAGATTGCAAACGATATTTGTTGCTGGAGAATATTGCGATTACGAAACGAAATTGTGGGCGGAAAGCATATTCAATGTACCGGTAATAAATCATTGGTGGCAATCGGAAACGGGACACCCGGTAACTGCTTTATGTCTTGGATACGGTGTCGATTGTTGTTTGCCAAAGTTTAGTACGGGTAGACCAGTTCCTGGTTATAAAGGTAAATTAACAACAGCAATACGAATTCATCGTCAACGTTTCCCGAGAGGTTATGTTGTTTCGTGTTCGTTTAAAAGATTATATTATATTTTTGTGTTCGTTAAGAGGTTATATTATAATACATTATCAATGTTTTTTTTTGCTCATATACGTAAAGAAAAAAAAAAAAGAAAAAGAATAAAACTAGAACCAAGCAAATAACCATATTGCCTTGTGGTTGAAGTTGAAAAGTTTCCAACATTTCCCAGAAGAGTTATAAACGTTCCCGATGTCCAAGAATGACGTGTCTAAAACATTTTCTTTTACAGTCGAGATATTTCGCAAAGATGGTAGCAAAGCGGCAATAGGTGAACTCGGTAGGATCGTTATCAAGTTACCTTTGCCACCTGGTTGCTTGTCCACCCTCTATCTTGCCGACGAAAGGTTCAAAGAAGTTTACTTCTCAACTTATCCGGTTAGTCTATCATTGATATTATTTTATATATGTGGTTATTTTTGTTGTTGCTTTTTAATTTGTTTTTTTTTCTTTACTTTATAATACCAATTATTATTTATAGGGATATTACGATACGATGGATGCTGGTTTCATAGACGAACACGGTTACGTTTATGTAACTTCTCGTGACGATGACATAATCAACGTTGCAGGACATCGTTTATCGACCATAGCACTTGAAGACATCATTTTAGCTCATCCTGACATAGCTGATGCCGCGGTAGTTGGTGTTCCAGATCTAACTAAAGGAGAAGTTCCACTCTGTCTTTACATCAAACGTCAAGGTTTCAATCTTATTACATATTACATCTGTCCATCTATTTTGATTTATTTTTTGTTTTTTTTTGTTTAATCTCAAAACTGACGTTACATTAAATCCTTTTTCATACTTCGACGCGTCTCATTTGTAATTATTTGTCTCATTTGATTTTTTAATTATTATTACGTATAAGTCTCGTGATATTAACGTACAACGTGTGTGACTCGTGATATTGATATATAACGTGTTTGACTCGTGATATTGATGTATAATAACGTGTGTGACACGTGATATTGATGTATAACGTGTATGACTCGTGATATTGATGTATAATAACGTGTGTGACACGTGAATTGAATTGAACAAATGATCATACAATTTGATCGAACAAATGATTTTAAAAATCAATGAAATAAAAAATCAAAAATTATTTTATATTAGATGATACAGAAGACAAAAATTCGTAATGTTTTGTTTTTTGTTTTTTTTCAGATACAACAACAACAGATGAGTTAATAGGTGAAGAATTGATACTTAATATTAGACAATTGATAGGACCAATAGCGTCATTTAGGTTAGTTGGTGCAGTTAAAAATTTACCTAGAACACGTTCCGGTAAAATTATGCGAAGATCCATTGCCAAATTGGCACGTTCTGAATTAGTTAAGGTAATTTGAAGATACTAAAAATAAATAGAAAGTGAAAGGGGAAAGAAAAGAAAAATGATCTAACCTAACATTATATTGTTTTTGCTTTTTTGTTTTCAGATACCTAGCACGATCGAGGATCGATCAGTGTTTCACGATATAAAAGCGGTCTTACAAAAATTAGGTTTTGCTTATCAAGCGCCAGATCCGGAATGACGTCATGAAAAATTAACTCGATCGATTAACATGAACGAAGTCACGAATCGAACACTAATCGAATAACACGAATGAAGTATGTTCGTCAAATATGTTTTGATTCTTCTTCGTTGTTGTTGTTGTTGTATTACGTGTAAAAGCTAAAGATTTGTAGAATAGAATATTATTTTTAAAAAAATATATATATATATAAATAAAAAAGAATGTTGCTCGAGTAAAATGTAGGTTAGGTACACAAATCGAGTCAAATTTATGCAGATGAATTACAACAACGAAGAATCAAAATATTTTTTTTTGACGAACGCACAACGTTCGTGTTAGTTTTCTTTTACATTCCATAATGAGATAAACTATTAAACGAATTTTCATATGTAAATATAATTAAATTTTTGTTTTAATTGTTAAACTAATTATAATTATTATGATGATGATCTTATGAGTAAAAAAAAAAAGAAAAATAATATATATCATATATGATCTATATTTTATATATTCTTTATTGGTAAATAAAGGTGTAAAAACAAAATAAATCAAACAATGATTGACATTAATTTGTTGACCAATATATTTTGTTCAACTATGTAATTTATAAATAAACTTTTAATTGTAATATTAACACACAAGTTATTCTAAATAAATTATTCTTATTATTATTATTCTTATTATTATGAAAAAGAGAACAAGTTTTGTTTATATCACGTTAAAAGAAAAAACGTAGAAATGTCTTTCTAAAGGGGGCGTTTATTAATCCTGTTAGGTGTTGAATTTAATTGACATTTAAAATATAAGACGATTCATGTGAAAAACATCATCAACCCCTTATCTTCCTACGAATTGTTCGTATACAATACGTCAAATACATTTATTCGTATAACTGTGTATATGTAAATGCATATACACACACACACACAGACAGACACGTGTGTTGGTGTCACACGTAAATTCATTTTCATCGGATTCTCAGCGTGAAATTCGCTGCCAACGTTTACCTCGTTCGTAACAAGGGTGACAGGTGTGCGTTGCATCTTAGCATCCTTTCGAGATACTTTTATACTTGACAACGGCAAAACAACGAACGGATACGAGGAGACGCGTTATTCCGTTATTTCACATTCAACATGAGGAAAAATATTCACAGATGGTTACTCGATTATTCTTACTCTTATTCTCTTATATAATTGTTATTTTCCTTGCTGTTTGTTTGTTATGTTATGTTATGTATTTCGTTTACTAAATGAAATCATTCTAATCTAATTTGAAACTAAATCTATTGACGAATGTAATTTATTTGAATTTTTTTCTCGTAGATTTGAACAACAAAATCAATGTTAAAGAAAATTTAGAGTCGCTTATAGTTTGAAAATGGTCTAACTTCATTTTCTAAAATAAAATCGAGTTTACTAATATTAGATTGGCAAGAAAGTAATTTCGGTTTTTTAGTATGAAATCAAACTCTATTTTTACTTTTATTTACGTTTATTTAAGATTGTTTCTATAACAATCTAAAAGTGTCTACTACCAAACCTCAAAAGAAGAGAATTCGCTATCTATTGGTGCAAGCCGAAATTACTCTCTTGTCAACCCAATAGTTACATTTTTACATGATCATTTCATTCTAAAGCAATTTGTTATTAATATATTTTAAAATTATGAAGATTTCTTCAGATCTCTTTTACACATACACAAAAATGTAGATGAGTAATAAATCATTTTGTAGGTTATGTTTGTAATTTTGTACATTATGTAGTTGAAAAATGTATTCAATCGCATTTATTAATTTTGTATATTAATCATTTGATAGTTGCCATTATTTTTTTTTTTTTTTTTTTTTCAATTTGAAGTATCTTAAATCATGTTGAATGCAGTTAAGTCCCATTCGAAATTTTATAACAAATCAAATTGTTTATTTTAAAAGTGATCTAACTGCATTCGTGGTAAGAAAACGCATATTATTCACTTAACAATTGCCACTATTTTAATAGGAACTATAAATTTAACACCCTTAGATACACTTAAGCAGTATGATTCATTAGTATCTTCTACGTATACTTTTAATTGCATTGAAATGCAAACCCTTGAATATCTCGATTCGAAAATAAATGGAATTTCAAACAAAATGGCTAAACTTTTAAAATAAACGGCTCATTTATTGAAATCTATTAAAAATTTAAAAAGATACCAACAATAAAAATATCCAACATCATCATCATCATCATTATCATCATTATCATTATCATCCCTAGTAGCACAAAATATTGAAAAATATTGAATACATGTGAATTTAATATTAAAAAGAGATTCAATGTCTTTGATCATCATGTATTGATCATGTATTCAATATTTTGTGCTACTAGGGATTATTATCATCATTATCATCATCATCATCGTCAATATCATCATCAAACAGCTTGTTTTATCCATTGTTTAACATAGGCCTTTTTAAACAAGTCCTACTGTATTCAATTTTAGGTATCAAAACATGTTAACAATCAATCTCTAGGTCCTACAACATCGTCTGAAGACACGTGATACAAAAAATTAGCTAAAATGAACGTCACGAGTGAGACACGTGGTAAGAAAAATTGACCAAACACTAGAATCACAACTTTGAAGTGTATACTTATTCAAATCATTAAATTAAAACGTAGGAAAAGAAGTTAATCAATTGTTCAATCGTTTTTTTCTTCAAAGACCCATAAACAGCCTGTTTTGTGCATTGTTTAACGTAGGTCTTTTTAAACAAATCCTACTGTATTCAATTTTAGGTATCAAAACATGTTAACAATTAATCTCTAGGTCCTACAACATCATCTGATGACACGTGATACAAAAAATTAGCTAAAAACGAACGTCACGAGTGAGACACGTGGTAAGAAAAATTAAATAAAATCTAATATAAAATTAGAAATAATTTAAATTAAATTAAATTAAATTAAATTAAATCTAAATGAAATGAATTAAATTCATTTTGTTTTTTTTTTTTAATTTTGACTAAAACCACTTTCATGATAATATGAGCACATATCTTATTCAATTTTTGTATCATCGAGTTAAAAATATAAAATCATACTTTGGTGTCCTTTCAAAATCTATAAAGGGACAAAAAAAAAAGGTTAGGGAGAGATAAAAATAAAAAAGTTACTGTATATAGGTAGATAAGTAAACAGGTTACTTTCGTCCTTTTCTTTAACGCATTTAACGAATACAAATCCGCGATTTAATTACCTCGAGTTTGTATCATCCCCGTGCGACGACGACGACGATGGATGAACGGACAGACAAACGGACGGATTGATGAATGGATGGATCTAACGACTAGCGTTAATTAATTCTCGAGTGTCGGGCTGCACGGAATACTTACGTTATCGTGCTTCGAATTTTTCGAGAAAAATGCTTACCCACTTTGCTCAAACAACTGTCTTGAAAAAAAAGGGTGAAGTCTCACCTAAACGACGATAATCATAACGATTTATATGTATTATTATAATTATTAAAGTAATCTAATGTGTGTGTGTGTGTGTTTGTGTGTGGTCTAATTTTCATTGAGAAAAAAATTCATTGGTTTGTCAGTTTATTTTAAGGTTATGTTATTTTTCATTAATATTAACTCTAATTTTGTTGATTGGACTTAGGTTAGGGTAATTTCCTAAAAATTGTATCCATAATTATGAAAGTAATTTAAATGAAAATTAAAATAAAATGCATTTATCAGTTATTTTAACATTGCATAATTTTTAATTAAATTAATTCTTATTTTGTGGATTGTTTTGTGTTATTTTTATATTATTTTGTGTTAAAATGCTAATTATTTAAAATATTTTAATACGAAAGATTTAGGTTAGGCCACTTTCCTAAAAATTATATCCATAATTATGAAAGTAATTTAAATCAAAATTGAAATAAAAAGAATTCATTATTTAATTTACGTTAAATTATTATCAATTAAATTAATTTATATTGTAATTTTGAGGTTATAATTAGAAAGTGCTTGACATTTCAATATTATTTTATATTTTTTTTTTAGCATTTTCAAATGTTAATTATTTGAAATAATTCGATACAAAAGACATAAACCTATAATGAAACTACTATCATAATTGTGCCCATAATTAGGAAAGTGGTCTGAGTCAAAATTAATAAAAAAAAAATGAGTTTATTAATTATTAAGCACCACATTATTTTAAACTAAATTAATTCAATGTAATTGTCCGAAATGAATCATTTGATTATGTTTGTTATTTCAATATAATATAGTGTTTAAATATAAATCTTTAAATATCTCGAAACAAGAGATACATGACTCAAATCACTTTCATAATTATGGGCACAATTATAGGCTTCCATATTATTACTGTAAAAAAAAACAATCTTATGAATACATTGGTGTAAGTATCAAATCAATTTAATTAAACGATCAAATGAAAATTATTATACCCCAAAGTACAATCACATTTACACATTATATCTCTGAATCACGTATATCATACGAAATTTTTCGATAAATCCTCCGTCGGTATGGTAGATTTGACTAATGCCACGGAAACAGTGTTACTCGATGTTATTTTGATTGAAAACATAAATTTGAATAAAAATTTAACGAATTATTCTTTAAGACTTAATATTGTTAGAATATTATCTTATTATTAATCACTATTATTATTATTATTAACAATTATAATTTAAAAAAAAAAATTAATATTTATTTAAAACAAACAAACAAAAACAGGTGTACAAAACTAACCTAATCGATGTATTAAAGTTCAACGAAATTTTCACTCGATGACATTTTCTTCGTATAAAATGCGTTAATAAATTGACCGATAAGACTGTATATATATATATATGTATTTCTGTATAAAATTGGTAAAAAGATAAGAGAGAATAGATAATACATGGGAATGATCAGCCGTTGCAGCAAACATTTATGCGTATCAATGACGTTACATATTTCTAGGAAGGGTATTAACGAAAAGATATTAATTTTTTTTACGGATGATTTATACTCAAATTCGAATGACCGCTCATATATCATTTACGAAGAAGGTTTCATTTATTAAAACGACGAAAAAGCCTTTATTCGATCCTACCATTCACCTATTCGTTTCGTAAAACAAAATCCTACGCGTGTGAAACAATATATATGGTAAGTAACAAAAAGTATTAATGTACTAAAAAAAAAATAAAACAAAAAACACGTTTTTCATATTTTTCAAGTGAACATTTCTTTTAAATCAAAGTAATTTAAAAAAAATTGTGAAACGAAAGAACGTGAAACGGAAGAACGTGAAACCGATGAAACAAAAATAATTAATTAATTAATTAAATTCAATATATATATATAATTTAATTCTATATTATTTTTAATTCGATATATTAATTAATTAATTAATTAATTAATTAAATTCTATATATATATAAAAATTCGGTTTAACAATATGTTTGTCCATTAATAATTTCGAAACTACTCAACTTATTTTAATGAAATTTCATTTTATTTCACGTGATTTTTTCCAACTTAGCACATAGCACAATTTTTATCGCGATATTTTATTATTATTATTATTATTATTATTTTTTATTACTAATTTAAAGATTTTTATTTAGAGGTTATCTAGGTTCTGTAAAGTTCTTTCAATAGATTGTTGCGCTGTATTACAATTCAATTGTTTCGATATATTGTAACATCTCGAATTTTGGTTTTCTTTGTAAGGTTTCACTTCTACTATCGTGTGTGATCTACACACATCTGTTTTTTTTTTTTTTTTTATATAATACGTCAATCATTTTTTGTTTTCTTTTGCCAAAATTTTTTAACAAATGTTTAATCAAATTTTGCACACTGTGTGCAGTTTCATTCAACTTGAAAGATAGGATAGTTTATCTTATCTTAATTTATTGCGAATTATTTGTTTATTAACAAAGTATCAGACTGATTGTGAGCCACAGCAACAGTAGTTTATTATATATTTTGTCTTAAAACTTATGAATAATTAAAAAGAAAATATTAACAACATTAAACAATATATTTTACTTAACGTTTACCCCCCTCCCCAAAAAAAAATGAACAAATGATCAATGTTTTCATGCATTTCTTAATAAAAAAAAAAAATCTAACATCTTTATAACTTCAGTCTGAACAAAAGTGTAATTTATAAACAAACAAATATCGTTAAACAATATTTCCTAATTAATTAATTAAATACAACCCCCGTATAACAACTAGAATCTCATCTAATTCTATTTTAATACAAAATGCAATAATAAAAAGCAACCATAACATAATAAATATCTCGTAATTACTTTAACGACACGATTCGAAAGCTTAAATACAATATCATCGTAAAAAACTACAACAACAACAAAAGAACAAAACACCATGGATGATCGATTATTATTTTTATTAATTGATAACCGTGGGATGCACCATGGGATTATTCGTTAAACTGTCCTACAAATTGACCGGTCCTTTTACGATCGTAAAAATAAACTACGAAAAATATGACAAAACGTCATATTTTCTTCATCTTCCCCTAAAACTCAGGAACATTCATCCCCTCCTCCCCCCTCC